AAGACTATTTGTCATTGGAGGTATGGAAGGAGTGCGGGGACTTTTGGAGGCTTGCAGTTTGCTTGTGGACTTGAAGTGGTGTGATGGGCATGTGTCAACATAATCAAAGGAGCAAGTTGGGCTTAATTTTAGATGAAGAATGATGATGATGTGAAGAGAATTTTGAGTTATAGAAGATCAAGGAAGCAATGGCCCATCTTGGGAGAGTCAAGAAGACACAATTGGGCTATCAAGAACCTTTACATGTGGGCTGGACCAAGAAATAAAGGAGCAAAACTAGAAGGCCAATAAAATGGGCCAAATGGCCCAGAATCCACGCGGTCCGCCTGGATTTACAAATGGTCCGAGTGGATCGCACTGTGAAGAATCCGAATTTTTGACTTTTTGACTCTATTTTGGGAAGGTTGGTGGAATGCTTTTGGGGGACTTTTGGATCCGATTTTTGACCATTTTTTCTAGAGTTTTGAAGCAAGAAGGAAGAAAAACACATGGAAGAACAACTCTACTTTGCTCTCTAGAAGGCTTGGGAAGATTTTGAAGATGTTGTCATTTCATTTCATCTTAACTTTGAATCATGTTTGGTATCTCTAAACTATATTGCATTTCTTTTACTTGGGCCATGCTTGGCTAAACTTTCATTTGGTTGATTAGGGTTTAACCCATGATCGATTAGTTGCTTTGAAGACTTATTATTATCTTGTGTTTGAAGTTTATGGAAATGTTTTCTAGTCAAACATCTCCTTGGTTTATTTATCTTAGATCATGAGCTTTAATGAATGAATGCTTATTTTTGTTGACTAATTTCTTGGTTAAGTAATGGACCCTCAAATTAGTAAGCAACAAATGGTTTATATGTTTGTTTTCATTTCATTTAGACCATGGGAATGTTTCCTCCATAATGATAAGATTACATGCTTCATTGATTTTGTGACTTTAATTAAGGAAATGTGTTAGAGCTCCTCTAGCCATTTTAATAACAATGAAGAGTTGAGGTAATTTGTGCTTATGAATTGCTATAGCTAAGTTAAACTAATTCACAAGATTTACTCCATTTAGTCTAATAATAAGTCAACTATGTCATCCATGTGGTGTATCCCAAAATCAACCAATTTCACTTCATTGAATTTAATCAAATCTTTTACTTGTTTACTTGTCTTATTTACATTCTAGTTAGTTTTAATTTTGTCAAACAATAAAAAAAATTAAACCCCCCCCCCCCATTTACTTTTACTTTTGTTTTACAAGTACTTGAACAAGTGATTTACATAGAGATTTAAATTGAACCAATCTCCGTGGATACGATCCCCTACCACTATACACTTTTTAGTGTTGTAAAATTTAGGGTATATATTTTGTTGGCCTCGACAACCACCAAATTTTGGCACCGTTGTCGGGGATTGGTTTATATTTAATTAGTTTGTTTCTCTAAGCCTAGATCTCATTGTGCACGTATTCTAGTTTAAAACTCAAAAAGTGAAAAAAAAAAAGTATGGTTGGAATGAACAATCCTGCATTAAAGACCAACTTTCTGAGCTAGCTCAGTTAGTTATGATGATTGGAAGTGACCAAAGTGTGCAACCCACAACTCTTCCTTGCGATAATTGCACCCAAAATGGACATCATTCCGATATGTATCCATATTTACAAGGAGAATAGGAAGAAGTACAATAAAAGGGAAGCTACTACTTGTCAAACCAATGAGGTTATGACTAGCCTCAACATGTTCAATGGTGGGACAACAACCAAGCTTGGGAAAATAACCAATACCTAAACCCATACCAAGCTTGGGGAAATAACCAATACCAGCCAACTCCACAGTTCCAACAACCCTATCCTTACCCTCCTCAACAAACAGAAACGCCAAGCATGTCCTTAGAGGACATTGTTAAAAGCATTGCCACTTCTACCCAACATTTCCAGGAAACAACGCAAGCTAGCCTCAAAAGCTTAGAGAAACAAATAACACAACTTGCTCAAACAATAAGTAATGGAAGCTCAAGACAAACTACCTTCTGAAGAGAACCCTTGGCATGGCACATGTGTTATTCCTTTAAAAGATGAGAAAAGTTTTGATGGCCTAAGAGTGTTATATGAAGAAGTGGAAGAAGGAGTAGAAGTGGAAGAGGCTAACAAGGGGGAAGAAGAAGACATTGAGAAAGTTGACAATGAAACTATAGAGGAAGTGTTGGGGGTTAACGAAAGAGAGATTGAGCCACTCACTACCATTGAGAAACTAACTCCAGTGGTAGAACAACCACAAGATCCGGAAACGATAAATCTGTCGGACCCTTCAAAGGATACATATCCCGAGAAAGAAGACGCCCCGCCGGTCACCTACTCAACCACCATGTCAAAGAGGGAAGAGTTAGTCACCTTACTGAACAAATACAAGAAAGAATATGGCTGGATGATTGATATCATCAAAGGTCTAAGTCCGATATGGTTCTCCCGTAAAAAGAAAGTCAAATACAAGAAAAGAGTCATAATGGAGGTGTGGGAATTAAAAAAATGTCGACACGGGGAAAATCTTCAAAGTCAATGGGCATCGTTTGAAACCTTTCTATGAAGGTTTTAATGCAAATGTCCTAGATGTCATCCATTTGGATGCCCCGGTATACTGAAATTGAGAGGGAAGTATGTCTCGCCAAAGACGTTAAAGAAGGGCATTTTTGGAAAAACATTGTGTTTTCATCTTTTCTATTTCCGAATAAATGTTTTTATATAAACCCTTTTTGCATTTCACATTTCTTCTTCCTTCTTGCAGTGAAAGAGTGTTGAATTTTAAGCCCACGATGTTCGTTTAAGTCAATAGCGAAGATTTGAGATTTCTCACCGGTTAACAAATCGTCCGCGTGTACTCAAGGGACCGTCCGTGTGAATAAACAAATGGTCTGTGTGCACTCGCCCAAGTCGTCCGCGTCATTCTTTGAATTTAGCATCATTACAAAACTTTTCACGAGGACCGCGTGTACTCAAGGGACAGTCCGCGTGAACAAACAAATGGTCCGCGTGTACTCAAGGGATCGTCCGTGTGAATAAACAAATGGTCCGCGTGTACTCCAGAAACTGTCCGCGTGGATTCGTTGACTAGCTTTGACCAGCTTTGACTTCCATTGACTTGTTGATCAAATAACTTAAGTGACATGCAACCTTTCTTCTTCATTAGCGCACCAGTTGTTTCCCTCTCTCTATGCATTCTTTCTCCCTCAAGAAACCATTAACCCAAACCCTCCACCCACTCACCCTTATCCACTTCCAGCTTACCCCTACCCTTACCCCCAATACTTATCTACTTGTGTTTATTTATCTTAGATCGTGAGCTTTGATGAATGAATGCTTATTTTTGTTGACTAATTTCTTGGTTAAGTAATGGACCCTCAAATTAGTAAGCAACAAATGGTTTATATGTTTGTTTTCATTTCATTTAGACCATGAGAATGTCTCCTCCATAATGATAATGTAAGCATTTGATTATCTTTTGGACTTGGTAACTCTTAGAACTTAAAGCTAATTGATTTTCACAAGATTACATGCTTCATTGATTTTGTGACTTTAATTAAGGAAATGTGTTAGAGCTCCTCTAGCCATTTTAATAACAATGAAGAGTTGAGGTAATTTGTGCTTATGAATTGCTATAGCTAAGTTAAACTAATTCACAAGATTTACTCCATTTAGTCTAATGATAAGTCAACTATGTCATCCATGTGGTGTATCCCAAAATCAACCAATTTCACTTCATTGAATTTAATCAAATCTTTTACTTGCTTACTTGTTTTATTTACATTCTAGCGAGTTTTAATTTTGTCAAAGAATCAAAAAAATTAAACCCCCCCCCCCCCATTTTACTTTTACTTTTGTTTTACAAGTACTTGAACAAGTGATTTACATAGAGATTTAAATTGAACCAATCTCCGTGGATACGATCCCTTTACCACTATACACTATTGTAGTGTGTAAAATTTACGGTATATATTTTGTTGGCCTCGACAAGCACCACATGCACACCATATGAGTGTTAGAATGATCAAAACCCTTCACAATATACTCCCTCTTGTGTCATGGGGTATCCCTCTTGCGTCATGGGATACTCCTGTTGCGCCATGGAGTATGTTGTTGCGCCATGCATGTTATTTTTGCGCCAAGATGATGTTGTTGCTCCAACCTAGAAGTTCTTGTGCCACACTTGAAGCCACTTTCGCCATCCATACACTTGTTGTGCCGTCATGACGCAAGATGGAGCATCTTGGTCCTTGATGAGCCAAGTATGCTATGAAGTCCTCTTTGATGCTCAAGATCGTTCAAGAATGCTCAGAAGTTTGTATTGCTCAAGTATTTACACCATGTTGTGCCACCATGATGGATGTGGGGCCATTATTGTTAATGTGTGACACTTGTACATCATGATGCTTCACTATGGCACAAAGTGCTCCATCATGTGTGTTGTTGATGCTCATGGGTTGTATGACATGGTAGAATGTTCCAGAAGATGCTGCATGGCGGAATATGATTGGTTGTCACCTTTCATGGGCCTATGGCCCAATAGGCTTGGCCCATTAGGGTTTTAGATCTGATCCCCCAAATATAAATATGGATGCATGCTAGGTCATTCTGTATCTTGAATTCTAGAGTGTTAGGCGAATCTCTGATGAATTGTACTTGTAACCTCTGTTTGAGAACTTTGAAATAAAGAACACCTTCCTCCTGCCCATAGACGTAGGTCGTCTTGACCGAACCACGTAAATATTTTGTCTTTGTGTGCTTATAGTCTTGCTTGTTATCCGCTTACTTCCTAACATTAGTAATAATTTAATATATTTGTTACCATTTAACATGGATAGAAAGATGAGTAGCAACAAAATATAAAAGGATATTTAATTTCTCTTATATAAATTAATAAAAAAAATGCATAAATTTAAAACAACAAAATCCATAGTTTTGGTCAATGGTTGGGTTTGAATCGGACTTGTGTAAGAAGTTAAGAACCTAACTGAAGTAGGAGTGGGTCAACACGTTCTGGTCCGATTCAGTGTTCTTTTCTTTACATTTCGGTTTCTATATATTTCGGGTCGGGTTCAGGCATGATTGTGCACCGCTTCACAACCCTGCTTTTATACCTTAATCACTTCCCAACTTTAAACCCATATCAATTCAATTGCTTTTCTCCTTTGTTCTTCTGATCATATCATTTGAATCCAACTGTAGATCATAAAAAGATTTAAGGTAAGCCTCTTGATTTAATTGAATTTTGATGCGAGTGACCGAAATTACATATATATGTATACACAAAGATCAAATTGGGCCTTTGTGAATTGTAATTCATTTCAGACTTTTCACTGATCGTAGACCTAAATCCCAAAATTACTTTTGCAGGCGTTGAAGATTGCCACTTTATTGATTTTACCAAAGGCGATCTTATAGAGAAACAATCATGTTTACACGAGTGTTTGGAAAGCCAAAGCAAGAATCTTCTAATACTGTAACATCATTAGACAAATTAAATGAGGTAAAAGTTGGTTTTCATTGATTGAGTAGATGTATATGTACTCGTTTTTGTGTGGATGTGTGATGTGGATCATATTATTTCGAAGATCTAAACTATTTTGATTCCTTTGTAGTAATTTGTTATCTGTTTTAGTGGAATTTATCTTGAAGCATTACGATTTCCATTCCTTAATCCATTACATTTTTGTATGACTTTGAAGTTGACTTGGAGTTCTGAACATAGAGGAACTGTTGACTTAGGGTGATTGTGTATTTCTTTATATGTGTTGACTTAGTTAATATATTGGTGTTTCTTCTTTAGACACGTGTCATATTCTTTTGCAGACGCTTGAAATGCTGGAGAAGAAAGAAAGAGTGCTTTTGAAGAAGGCTTCTGCGGAGGTGGAGAAGGCCAAAGACTATACCAGAGCAAAGAACAAAAAGGGTATAATTGGAAATTTGTTTACTGGTTTTCTCCCTTGAACTTTCTGTATGATAAGATTATCTGTTCATCTGAAGTTAGATTGCTTGTTATTTGGATGCTGACTTTAAGATAGTGTTTGGTATGAATATGGAATTGAAGAAGGAATGGAATGGTTCCTTTCTCATTGGAATGGATTATTCTTGAAGGAATGTGACTTCTTCCATTTTGTTATCTAACAATATTTAGTCAATGGTGTTTTTTTTATCTAATTTTCAATGATACAAATCCGTTTTAGGAGCTTTCACAAGTTTAGTTAAAGTACCATTTTATTCTCTAAAAGTAACTAGAAAGTATATATATATTTTTATTGTAATCTTATTTGAGTTTTGTGAGTTTCTATTATGTTTAATTTTCTATTTTTGTAAATATAAATTCATGACCAGTGATATATAGTAATGATTAAGCAGAAAGTGTCACATTTTTTCATTTTTATTTTATTTTCCTTTTTGATGTTATTCAGCGGCAATACAATGTTTAAAGAGGAAGAAGCTCTATGAGCAACAAGTTGAGCAACTTGGCAACTTCCAATTGCGTATACATGACCAGGTGATATTTTTTGATGCCCTCAAGTTGAAATGACTCTTATGCCCCGCTTGTTACACATGACAGAACATAACAGGTTGTACTGTGTTTGATGTGAATCAGACTCGAGAGTGAGAGAGTGATGTCAATAGGACATAAATTGTAAGTTTTTGTCCCACCAAAGAAAAGGTGGAACACATGGACTCGCTCTCAATCTCTTGTATGTGGAAAAGACGCGAATACCCTCCTCATCCTCGTCATCGAAAATATCCCTAGAAAGCTTGTCCAGTCTGGTGCACTCCTGTCCCGTGTCACGGGACAGGACTACACTAGAAAGAACTGTACAAGCTTTCTAGGACTATTTTTGATGAGGACGAGGAGGGTATTCACGTCTTTTTCACATACAAGAGATTGAGAGTGAGTCCATGTGTTCCATCTTTTTTTTTGGTGGGACAAAAACTTACAATTTATGTTCTATTGACATCACTCTCTCACTCTCGAGTCTGATTCACATCAAACACAGTACAACCTGTTCTGTCATGTCAAACAAACAAACAGGGATTTAAGGATATGATGCATGTAACACATATTGAAACTTGTGTACTTTTTGAACTTGAATATCAGATGATCATGTTAGAAGGTGCAAAAGCTACAACAGAAACCGTTGATGCTTTGAGAACTGGTGCAGCAGCAATGAAGGCCATGCAGAAAGCAACGTGAGTTGTATCCTCTCTCTCTCTCTCTCTCTCTCTCTCTCTTTTATTTATTTATTTATTTGATTTGAAAGTTGTGAATGATGATTATTGATGCAGGAATATTGACGATGTTGACAAGACTATGGATGAAATAAACGAACAAACCGAAAACATGAAACTAATTCAGGAGGCATTGGCAACACCCATGGGTGCAGCTGCTGATTTTGATGATGTATGCGAGGGGCATTTTCGTCTTTTTTCACATAAGAGCGACCCACCTTTTTGGATGGGACAAAAAACTGCAATTTTTGTCCCATTGACAACTTTGTCAGTCCAATCAAGCCAAACACTGTACAACCTGTACTGTTTTGTTCTGTTTTGTCAGCTAAACTTTTTTCTCCAAACAGGACGAATTAGAAGCCGAACTTGAAGAACTAGAAGGAGCTGAGTTGGAGGAACAGCTTCTCCAACCTGCCACCACCGCTCCTGCCGCTCCGGTGCAGGTTCCGGCAGGGCGGCAACCACCACGCCCTGCTCCTCAGAAAAACACAGCCGAGGAAGATGAACTTGCTGCATTGCAAGCCGAAATGGCACTTTAAGAAAAGGTTAGTTTTTTTTTTGTGGATTTGTGTTTGTAGTTTTTATCAATTTGTTTCATTCATGTCTCTGGTATTTGTTGGTTACAGGAGATGTATTGAAACATACACCATGAAAAAACTGTGTTAAGTTATTTGCTTGTATAGTTTGTGATTGTAGACTAAATAACAAGTTGGAATACGAGTATTGTATTATACATTGAAGATCATAAAGAACCCGCAACTTATATATGAGTGTTTATTTAGTCATTAAACTATTTTTTTGTACGTAATTTATCATTACACTCTTTCTAAATGTTCAAAAACTCCCATTCTGGCATAGTGTTATAGGTAAATATTGATTTATACGTAATTGTGGACTTATATTGAGTGTGTAATCAATTGAACTCGCATCTTTTTTGCGAATGAGATGTCACTCGTTTGTAGCTCTTGGGTCAACTTTGTAGGTTGGGTGTTTTACATTTATAGAAAAATGGTTTTACAAATGAACTAGTAGGATTAACCCACTCTAATAGTAAAAAAATTTCATGGGTTCTTCAGCAATAAAAATGAAAGATTACGGAGGGGATTCTGATTCGCAAGGATAAGCCAAAATCAAATGTAAAATTACCTACTATAGTTAAATCACACCCTACACCTTCTTCAATGGTTATCTTCAATCCAATATATACTTATTCGTGAAGGGTAAGCCACGCTTTCATGGAACTTCGGTCTACACATTTTGTATTTGAGTTGGATAACGTAAAAGAAGACGTAATTTTTTTATTTATTTATTATTATTATTTTTTTAATTTAGGACACAACGGATGCATGTTAGATTACTTACATACTAAATATAAGTCAAGTTACATATTACATCCATCTTAGCCACATAGATGCCAAATAAACATGACCTACAATTAAGATTGTAAAAATCGTTAGATGGTAGCTAGTTGGTTGATCTAAGTTAATGGATTAATCAGTGTAGTCAATGATTAATTGGAGATTAATCAGATATCTTAAATTATAAAAGATTTGTTTTTATAAATAAATAAATATCACCAAATAGAAAAACGTGATTCATTTTATGCTAGATACATAAAAAAATTATATAGATGGGTAAAAGTTAAAATAATACATAAAAACCGATGTCGATGTCGACATAATGAGAGACAAGAGAATCATACGAGAGACAAAGAGATATGAAGCTGAAATTAGGGAATTTAGTTTACAATTGCATATTTTCATTCTTTTGGTTTTGTTGAATTTTTTTTGATAATTTTGACCATTTGACTTTTTGACTAATTTTGACCGTATAGCCCGATTAATGGCCGCCTAACCGATTAATGACCGATTTTGACTGAGCCCATAGAATACGATCGATTAGCATTATTCATATGCGAATGAAGGCCACCAAATGACTAGTCGTTGATTAATCGGTCGTCTACATTAATTCTAACAACACTGCCTACACTACCCCGATCATAATAGTAATTTTTAAATATATGAAGAGAGTTTAATGGTAAATCATGTATAAAAATAGTTTGGTGGCTGAATGTGTACATAGAGCATAATACATTGTAACCCTTGTATTTTGGAGCTAGAAGTTAGGTTCTTTTTTAGTAAAAATTAAAATTGAAAAAAAATATATATAAAATGAATAAACAAAATGAATCACATTTAAATAGTCCAATTAGGTACAAGAAATTTTTAATATCATAAAATACCCTATATATTGGGCTTTCCTCGATTAAATTTTAACTTATTTTTTTTCCTAAAAAAGATCTTTTTTTTAATTATTTTCGATTTGGTTGTTTTAACAGGTTAATTGGTAATCTTCGGGTTTAAGACGATTTTTTTTTCAAAAAAGCCTTACATTTTTTTTTCTCGAAAAACCCTCAACTTTTTTTTCCCCGAAAATCCGTCACATTTGACAAACTTTTTCGTTTTGGCTAATAATTCTTATGTTTTTTTTTGTTGTTTTTTTTATGGTGGTTTTGATAGTTTTTAACATTAATATCAAAAGGGAACATTTGATTTTTTTTCGAAACAAAGAGAAAGATGTCTCCGGTTATTGTTGGCATAATGTATATGAAAATCAATTTCCAGGATGTTCAAAGAAGGTTGCATGCGAAGAGAAACTATGTAGTCTTGCTTGAAAAAGTGTCTAATCGAAAAACATGAAAACTTAGATTAGATTCTAAACATAGACTGGTTTTCGAAAATCTTCTTGTATGTTTGGTTCTTAAATCAATCTAAGATATCAAGCCAACTTAGACCATTGTTCACATGCTACAATCTCTGAGCATCATGGATACTGATTTTGATATGAATTTTGCTAACAAGAATTGTATACAATAGTCTTTCTGTTTGTTTCGAACAAATCAAATGTTTTCTTCGATGTTGTTACTATAGAAGTGATTTCCAGGAATCACTTTATTGTTCCTGGTCTTGATGGCCGGATCAATCAAGATTATATGTTCGGTTTGTGTAAAGGTTTCTAGAGCAATATTTTTAAGGAATTTTGAATCTGGCTAATATAGGTCATGTTTGGGGTCATCATGAGAAAATGTTTGGTGGAGGGCATGATGACATTGAATAAAAGATTTACTCTGCTCCATTCCTTAGATTTGTATAAAAAATTGTTTGGTTTGCGATTGAATATGCCTGGAGGATTAGCCTATTTATTTTTGAAGATTTATGAGGGGGAGATGTAACACCCCATTTTTACCATAGCCGTAGATTATAATTATTATAAAATACAAAATAAAAATATATCAATCTTGATCGAAAATAATTGTCATAGACACGTAGGACACGTTAAAACGATTTCCGTAGATATAAAAAACACCCAAATCCGACTCCTTATGGAATAGATATGATATTTCGAAGTTTCTATGCAACCGGGAATAGCAGTGCACGACACAGAAATCAAATTTTAGAACGATAGATTATTAGGAAAAATAATCTAAATGAGAGTTGAATATCTTGTCAATAGGAGTTTGTCGATATAAAGAAGATCAAGAACGGAGTCCGTATGTAGGAGTCATGCTTTCCGCAACGATCTCTAACAGCCTACGCCTATCAAAATATAAATATTAGATAAAGTGAGAATTAGCTGTTGAGATCTAAAAAAAGTTGTATATATCGTCAAGAGCTTTCCGGAAATATAAAGAACGTTGAAAACGGAGCTCGTATGCGGATGTTATGGGCGTTCGAAGATCTGCGAAAAACCGCCTATGTTGATGATGTGGCAGCATTGGAGTGTGCCACGTAGAAAGTCGGCCTTTCACTTCCTCAAAGAGGTGCGATGACATGGCAAGATACATACATCACACGTGGCACCATAAGAGTGTGACACGTGTCACCTTCTAGAAGAAAGAGGTGTGAAGGAACCGGAGCGCGACACATGTCAAAATGAGAGAGGAGCAGCAGGGGCCAAGTGTGCAGCGCACTCCTTGGTCTTACGCGGCACGCCTCCCTCCCCCCTATAAATATCCTTCTGAAAATCATTCCTTCACACCCCAATTTCCATATATCTCTCTCAAATCTCTTCAGTTCCTTCGAGTCTGACTTTCTCTCAACTTTTAGGATATTTTTGTAAGGGTTCTAAGGTCCCAGAGTGTTCGGCAAATAGAAGTGTTCGAGTCGGGATTCTATCCACATATTTTTCCCGGTTTCCGCTAAAACCTCTGTAAGTTAAGCTACACTCTCACGATTTCCGTGTAACTTATATTTATAGTCGTAAGTCATTATTATGGACCTATAAATAAGATTTATCTGTAATTCCAAGTCAAAATACTGCTTGATCTACTTACGGGAGAGGTGTCTAGAGTGTCACGTTGGCTTGGTTGTTAGATTTCAAAAAGGCTATAAGCCGAAATGGTCTTGCCTGACGATCCTTATTTGATAGAATTATCAGTATTCATTGGGATTAGTGTTAGATCTAGCATACATTACAGTTCAAAAAAAAAATATATGGATTTGAAAATCGAAAAATTAGCTGTCAGACGAGTCAACTCGTCGAGTCAGGGCTTGGACTCGTCGAGTTCACCCAACTCGTCGAGTTCATCAGACAGAAAGCAAAATCGTTTTGTTTAAGCTTTAGACAAATCACTATTACATCAAATATAACAGAAAAACATCCTAGGCTCTGATACTACTGTTGGGTTATGAGCATATCTACATTCCTATGTGTACATACAACCCTAATTGCCTTGGATCTAGGTTTTTCTCAAGTTATACATGCAAATAAATTTTCCAAAGCAATAACCCTAAATCTAATATATATAAAATCGAAATCTACATATTATTAGGGTTAGAAGAATACCTTTCTTGTTATCTAGTAATAACAAGTATTCCTTGCTTGATCTTGACTTCTAAGAGCTTAGTGCCCCAAGCGTTGCACCTCTAATGGAGTCACAAACACCACTAGCAATGGATGAAGGAGAGAGGTGATGGAGGCTCTTTAATTTTCGGCTACGGTTCTCTTAGAATGCATAGGCCGAAAATTGTATACCACGGGGTTCCTTATATAGCTGAGACTGCTAGGGTTTTCAGGTGGAAACCCTAATCTGATTGCTTAGGCCTTAAGCAATCCATGGATCTCCTTCCTAGAAGCCTTGGACGAAATCTCTATAGGGCTTTCTATAGATTTCGTCCACTCTATTCTAAAGGAGTCCATCAGCCCAACATTGCAACTATAAGTGATTTGCAATATCAGTCCTCGTTCTTTTTAATCAGTTCCTTTAATCCCAAAATTAATTCCAAATTAATTTCTGATTAATACTAATTAAATAATATGATTTCTCAATCAATATAGTATTCTTATAATATATTAATAAATCATATATCAACCTCTTTCTCCAAAAACCATCCTATCAAAATTGCTATGGTGAAGGCAACCCAAAAGGACCATGCTACTATCAGATCAAGTACATACCAATTATAGTTATGGGCTTAGACACCTAATCCAACACAAAGGTGGTAGTGTTTTGCATTGCAACATTATGTTTTTTTGCAGTAAGTCTTGTAGGTCCTTTAGATGTATTCCCTCCGGCTGTGCTCGAACAACTACCTGTCTCTATTGTCACTGAGGTTGCTTGCCTGGTTTTTTTTTGGCTCTCCCGGCTGTTCTCTCGTTAATGTCTTTGTCATGATACAAATATGGTTGGGTAGGATGTATATTGCATTGCTATGGTTCGATAACTGGATTTGTTGATGTTGCTGGTATGAAGGCAGGTATCAAATTGATTTGACTGATAGGTGTGTCAGTAGCTAGGCAAGTTGTTTGTTCTTTTTATGGCATGGTTATATATGGATGGCACCAATGTTGCTACGTGGTTGCCCGGATGCATGTGTGGCTACTCGTCCATGGGCATCTTCGAATGAGCACTCCTGGTAACACACGGCATGAATTTGACAAATATAGGTTAGAAAGCCATACAGGGGGTGGACCCCCGGTATTGCTCTCCGATGCCTAAGTTAGAAGTCATATTTGGGGAATGGATAGTATATTTGTTAGAATTGTAAAGACTTAGGGGTCGTTTGATAGTTGCTGATTGGGTTAGAGCTGACTGAGTTAGAAGCTGACTGGGTTAGAAATGCTGACTGAGTCCACATCTAACTGAATTTATGCTGTTTGATTATTTATCTGACTGATTGTGTTGAATGATAAAAATGACTATATTATCCTTATGTTGTCCTTTTGTGCTGGATAAAATAATTATAAAAATAAAAATTATCACATAAAATCCAAATTAAACATACATCATTTAAAATCCAAATACAAAGTGTAATACAAAACCCAAATACACATTGTCATACATAATAAAAAAGTATATCATTTACCTTTTTCATATATAACCTTGACAGCTATAAAGAAATACAATACCACAAAGATATGTAGTTACACAACCACTAGAATTATATATAATTTTCAACAGCTTGCTTATCATTACACCATCATAATTTCATCATAATTTCCTCATAATTTCAGATTCACCACATCATAATTTCGGATTCACCAATTTTGTTTTTGGAAGATATATAGTAATTAATCAATAATTTTTTTCACTTCTTGTTTTCAAGAATCAAGAAATAACATGCATGCTCCCATGGAAATTTTAAGAATCAAGAACATGAAAATTGAATTTTAAAAGAACAAAATTATCAAGTTCTGTTGCTGTTGTTTATGATGCAGAAAAAATTATCACTTCTGGACAATTTTGCCCCTGAGTATGAATGCAGAAAAAATTAGAACAACAGAAGGAAAACAAACATGTTCCTGCGATCGTTGTTGATGGATGTTGTTGCTGTTGATCGCTATTTCTGTTGATCGCTTCCTTGATTGATGTTGCGGCTATTCACCAATTCTCTTCATGCGATCGATGTTCTTGCTGTTGGCCGATGTTGTAGTCGCTGGAAGTTAAACGTGGGAGGGATGATAGCAAATCTGATCGCAGTAGAATGTAGGGCAAGCGATATGTTTTTTTGATTTTTTTCTCGGTCCGTCAAGTAGAAAACAAGGACCGAGTCCTCTCTATTTTTTGGACCGACTCCTAATGTTGGACCGAGTCCTTGCAACTATAATCAATATCAAACGTGCCAATTGGTTTTTTATGGACCCAGTCCCTCTTTGGACCCAGTTAGATACAATATCAAACGACCCCTTATTTCTTACCCCCCTTTGGATTGGGCGGAACCTTGCTTTATTGCTGGGGCTTGGACCCGTTCATGGTCTCTTCTTCTGGGCTTTGCGTTTATCCTTAGGTCGTAAGGGTAAGATCCCTTTTTATTAAAAAAGTCTTGCCTTTTCCGTGTTTCCGGGGGATGCTTCTTAGGGTGCATACGGGAGTAGGGTGATTCTTGCCATATGTGCTCGTTATCATTGTTGTATTTGTGGCTATGTTGTCAGGACGGGTTCATTGGCCGACCTGGTGCTCTGTGGGTTGATGCCCATACCCCATTAGTCATGTCATATAGATAGTATTATTAGCTTACTATAATTTCTTATGCTTTCATTGTATTTTCACCCGTTTGTATTCACACACTATGAGAAAATTAGTTTTATTAAAATCTTATTGTATTTTACTATCAAATAAAGAGTACTAACTTATTATATTTTTATTGTTTTTCTTACCTTAATCTTACTGTTTCTTCAACTTGTTCTCTCCTGATCACATATAGAAAATATAACAAGGAAAAACTTAGTATAATAATAATAGGAAATTGAGTAATCTAACCATTTTTTAATGTTTAGAAAAAATTAACCAATTTGTTTTAGAAAAAATAACTACTTTGTCTGGAATGAGCATTCCGAAATAAGAAAAAACATTTTTTTACTGATTCCGGAATGACATTTCGGACAACTGTTCACATTTTGGACTAAAATTTCAGATTTCGAAAAAAAAATACTCTGGAATTTCAAGAAAAATTCCAGTATCCAAAAAAAATACCGAAATTTTGAGAAAAAATTTGTTTTTTTTATTTTAATTTAATAAAAAGTTAAACAAATATAGTAATATGAACTATATATGATATAAGTGCATAAAAGCACATATTTTATTGAAAAACGGTGATATTAAACTCTTAGAATTGACATTTCGGACATAAATTGTGATATTTTTTCCAAAGCAATTAAGAAAAAACACAAAATAATTTTGGAATTTGAAGATAAAACCCAGAATAGAACATTCTTTGAAAAAAAAATGAAAAATAGTTCGGAATGTGAACAATAGTTAGAAATAATGCATTTAGATTGTGGTCATTTTTCAAAAATCAAAAAAGAATTTGTTATTTTTTTTTTCAAAAGGCTCATTTATATGGGTTAAATTATTCAATTCCATATAATAATACTACTAAAATTAAATGTTATAGAAACAATTAAGTTTAAAATTTCGTATAGTTTCATTATTTTTTTAGAAAATTTCCAATTTTATCTAACACATCAAAAAAACTTTTTTTTAATTGTAAAGGCTACTGTAATTTATTGATCGTTTTTTACGGATTAAAATCCTAATTCTAAAAGACTAACTGATATTTAACCTTTTTAGAAAGAATGGTTAAATTCATAAATAAGAAAATTGAAATATTTATTTGTAGATGCAGATTCAGACCAAAACTAGACCAGAGTCCACTATATAATAAATATATAAAAACGGAACAAAATTAAAAATAATAAAAAGTAAAATTACATTAAAACTTTGAACTAAATGTCATTTTACAATTGTTCTCTACGAGGTCTCATAATTTGAAAGCGGTTCCTAATATGCTTGTTTATAACTTTGGAAAATCCATCTTTTTCCAATCGTGCAATTTCGTCAATAATTACAAACTCATCTGAAAATTCAATTGTGCAAATCCAAATTCAGAAGCTTCATTGCAAAATAACATCTCTTCATGGTTGCGTGTTGCAACCTGTAAAACCAAAGTCAACTTCAATAATTGATAAAACAAAGGAAAAAGTGATGCATCTTCGTTCTTACCGTCACTTTAGCAAGGTCGAACGTACAATTCAAGTTACTGAATCTTTTATTTCTGTTGCATATGAGTAGGGTAGATAGAAAATATAGAATATTGATCCTATCTTTATAACTAAAATCATTTGGCTAGACAATCAACCGACTTTTGTAACTTTAGTGAATCAAAGACACAAATAAAAGATGTGGATTCAAACATACAACTAAGCAATTCAAAACTTATTTCCTTAAAATGATTATCCAACTTTTAACATGTTTGTTCCAAACAAGATTTTTTCTCTTTCCATATATTGCCTTTATTGTAGATACAATAAATGCTATATATAATAAAAAAATATCAGTTAGAGGCCTAATATATTTGTTTCAAATAGCTTTTAGCCTAACGATATTAGATGTTTTTTTTTCTTTTTGAAATCGATGGTTCAACTCGGGTCTGAAACGTAAATTACGTTAATAGTAGTTTAGGAATGTATTAGATTTACTGTTTTAAAAAAAAATTAAAAAATTAAAATAAAAATAAAGGCTATATATAGAAAGAAGAAATATGTTAATCAACAAAATTGTCAATACCAATAATGAGAGGGGTGACATTGAAAATACACTAAAATAGAAATGCTCACCATCCACCAAAGCATGTCTATCTCCTTTCGGCTTGAGGCACGTAACGTAACCGCATGTTATTAAAACTACATTTATTCCACAGACGTCATAGGAATGACCGGATCACATTGGTTAGTATGGGCGGTTTTTGACGCCTACCTTCTTCCCGAAAAGATCTCATTCCAACTCTCTTTCTCTTTCTCTTTCTCTTTCTTATTCTCTCACACACACCGCAGACTCAGCATCACTAGTGCTGAAAAAAGTGATCAAAGATACCGTCTGCGTTGAATTCCACAATGCCTTACTTTCCATCCATCTTTCTTTAATCCCACGCAATTCAATTGTCTTCTGGATTGCTTTACCTTTATCACCATTAACACTGCCTTTTAAGTTTCAATCATCGCACACACACAAGAACATTCGAAAGAATCTTGAGAATTAAGGGTGTTTCCCAAGAATTCACTTTTTTTTAATGTTTTTAGTTGATTCATAGATTGATATTCAAGATTTTTTTGAAGTTGATGGCTTCGTTTTGAAAGGTGTTGGATCTTGTCTCATTCTTCTTCTGTATTACTAAGATTTCAAAATTAAAAGTTCTAGGGAGTACTTATGTACCTGTGTTCTTCTCTAGCTTAAATAGTTATAGCATCATGGTTGATATGGTGGCCGGAAAAGGGTCGTCGTCGACGGTGGCTCTAGGGAGGGGCTCTGTCTTCTTTTATGGCGTCGGTCATATGCTCAATGACATAACAGCTGCGTGCTGGTTTACTTATCTTTTGGTTTTCATGACAGATATCGGATTATCCCCCAGGTGAACACTAAATTAAACTAGAATCTGATAATCAATGGATCGTTTTCAGATTTTTATCGGATTACTTAGAAGTTATATTGTGTTGATCCTGTCTTTTCTTCTCAAGGAATGCTGCTATTGTCATGCTTTCTGGTCAGATAGCTGATGGATTCACTACCATTTTTGCTGGCGAACTGGTATCTTAGAAAACCAGATAATATAATATTTTACAAGTTTCCATTTGAAAAAAAAAAAAAACATGAAGTTTTCAATATTTGGATCGATATATTGTATAATGAAACTGCTTCATTCAGTTCAAAACTTCATCAAGAACAGAATGCTGTGGTTTTCATTCAATGGCTAGTTGTTTCTGTTGATAAAATGTATATACTTAATTTTATCTTTTTTGTGGGAGAAAACATTGCAATTTTTATCTCATTCACATCAGTCCTATCGGATGCCAAAGTACAACTTGTTCTACCATGTCTTGTCCTATGTAGCAAGTGGGCCTTTATGTTCTTGTTTCATGGTAGATTTAATTAACATCTGTTTGTTTTTTCGATGTTTATCATAGATAGACAGGTTTGGGCATTTTAAGGTATGGCATGCAGGAGGTTCGATTCTGGTTGCCATTTCGTTCTCTTCTGTATTTGGAGGATGCGTTCCTTGTATTATTTTTGGCAATGAATCTACTTGGTTGCAAACAATTGGTTATAGCTTTTTCGCAGCTGTCTTCAATGTGGGATGGGCTGCTACACAAGTCTCACACATGTAATCTTGTTTCTCTTAGGCTCTTATGTTGTGTCAGATATGTTTAAAAAATATTTCAAAATGATGTCACATGTTGGGTAATGAAAGTTAGATATAATGGATTTAGTTTGTTTCATTAAGTACATGGATAAAAAATAAGCACCATCTTACTTTTATGGGTATAAGTCATTGTGTTATGCACTTGCTAATGGTTGCTCAATTTAATTAGGTCTATGGTGAATTGCATCACCCTTAATTCGACGAGCAGGGTCGTGCTAACTAGTTGCCGGAACGCGTTTTCAATGGTAAGTGAATTTTATAGGAATAAAAACATTTGATTACCATGAAATTGTTCTATGATAAGAAAGTAGTGTTATCTTATAGGTTGCCAACCTCAGTTTATATGCGGTTGCCTTCTTGGTGTTCCACATTTGGCCTTCGAAAACCACGGACGAAGTTGAGAATCAGGTATTGAGATGAAGGCTTTCGTTAATTGTTACCCATGACATGACATGACTGGACAAGACAAGATTGTATTAGATGAGAGCAGACAAACTTTCTAACTCTATTTTCATTGATGAGGGTGAAGAGGGCATTCAGTTCTTTTGATTAGACAAGAGATCAAGAGAGAGTCATTTTTGCCATTTTGGGTGGGACAAAGATTTGTAATTTTTGTCTCGTTGACATTAATTTAGTGTCAGTCTTATGCATGTCAAACAAAGTAGAAAGCCTTATGTTTCCATATAGTATAACAAAAGGAACCGAAGAGTCTTTCTCGACTTATTGCCCTTTTTTGGATTTCATTATTGTCTCTCAGTATCGTTGGATTGCGTACTCATCAATATTCATTGGATGCTGCTTCGTGGTTGTGTTTCACATTGGGACAAAAGAGCCGAGGTATTTGACCATATGAATTTGTGTACCTAATTTACATATCATATTATATGATCCAGAGTGGGCCTTTAGTGGTTGTGGTTGCCAGAAGAATAACCTTTTATAATCATAGCAATGTTCGCAACAATTTCGATATTAAAATCATGAATTTTAGTTTCAAAAGAAAAATGTTTTCATTTTTATATCGGTATGTTCATATCAAAGTACTTTGGCCATAAAGCTATTGAGATTTTGTTGTTTGTAGATTGAAGGAAGACTTTCATGGGGAGCATGGTTATCAAAAGATAGCATGGACTTATTGGTTTAAGAAAGTTCTATACTATCAAGTTGCTCTTGTCTATGTGTTCACTCGGTTAATAACTAATGTTTCACAGGTTCGATATCATTAAGTTGTTCATCTCAAATATCATAACAATCAATATATTTTCAGTTTTGAGAAACCATGCATGTAATTTGAGGTTTTTATGCTCTTTCAAGAATCCCGAATTGCATAACTTTGGTTTATCATTGTGGACTATAGGCATTTCTCGCGTTCTATGTCATCAACGATCTAAGAATGGTCCAATCTTCTAAAGCATTGGTACTTATATGAACCTGGTGATTGATCATCACATTTTCTCTTTCACCACAATATATGAATCATGTGATGCTCACTTTTGTCGTATTAACTGTGTTTTGGTAGATTCCGGCCATGATCTACATTTGCAGCTTCATTGTATCCATTCTACTACAGGTTCCATTTTGAAACTCATTTCTTGATATTATGATTGAAATTTTTTTAATTTGGAGAGTCAGAGCGGATGCTTTGAGAAGTACTCGAATGACTCTCCAATGTCAAAGATTCATGATTTATGATCGACACATGTTGACTTTCGAGAGTCAAAGCCTATGCTTTTGATTTTTACCAGGTGCATTTAGTTTAAGAAGAAAATTTATGTATCCCTTTTGAACTTCGTAAGAAATGACGCGATGCGAAATCTTGATGTTAATTTAGAAACGTACTATTTTCACATGAATCTTACATTTATTAAGTACATGGTTTGACTCTGAAATGTCAAAGGTTCTTAATTTACGATTGACATATTTTGACTTTCAAGAGTCAAGTATATGCTTTTAGATCAGAATTTTGAGCCGGTGTGTTTAGGTTTGAAGAAAACTAACCATACCCATAATGAAAAACCTTGATGTTAAATTAAAAATATTTTTTCACATGAAATTTACATTTGAGAATACTTGGGTTGACTCTACAATGTCAAAGATTCTTGATTTATATGATCTACAGTTTGAAATTCCAAAGTCAAAGGATGAATTTTAGCATTTAAATTTTAATCTGTCAATATAGTTTTTCTGAAGAAAACTAACCATACCTGTAACTTCACAATAAACGACATAATGAGAATTGAGAAATCTCGATGTTAATTTAAATAAATCTTGACTTAAACACGTAATGTCTAGGAGCTCACATGGACTGGTCAACGCCTGAAAGTCTTCTTTTCGGTTGGAGGTGTTTTGTGGATACTTTGTGGTTCAGCAATTTTCTTTATGCCAAGCAACACGAAGAAGATGATGTACTTACTTTCATTAGTCATCGGCATTGCAAATGCTCTAATAACGGTATACCACTTTCCATATATATGCTATATATACATCTTCTCCGAATACTATTTATTTAAAATTTTATTTAATCAGTAATCATATATCACATGATAGGTTACTGGGGTAAGCATGCAAAGCTATCTTGTTGGTGAAGATGTCAAAGGTTGTGCTTTTGTTTATGGATCATTGAGTTTCCTTGAGAAGATGTCGTGCGGCTTTGCTTTATGGGCACTTGAATCGTATCAAAGTAAGGCCTTTTTTTTTTTTTTGACTTAATTCGTCCTAACTTTTTACAAATTTTCCATAATTTATTATTTTTCTTCCATTTCCTCACAAGTGTTGTTGATTTAACAACAGTTTTAAAAAAAAAAATATCTTTTATCCTGACAATACTTGGTGGGAAAAGAAGAAACAAGACCCTAAGTACCGGCCTTGTACTAAAAAAGAACAAAAAGGATATACTTTGACGTTTTTTTGTTGTCAAAGATGTTAAACAAAAATCGGTATGAATTTGCCTAATCTTGAGGAATACTTGCAAAAGCCCATATTAGATCTTAAGCAAATGTCCATCTTTGAACATCAAATGATGGTGAATTTTAATTAGCAATCAGTCAATCCAAGATCAACTAATTTAAAATAAAAAATTCAAAACTATCGGTTCTTGATGATAGTGTTTATTTTGCAGACACCTCTCAACCACTAAAGGAATGCAATCCTATATATTCATGTTTTTCGGTTTCAAGATATGGATTCGGTCTTGTGCCTGCAATTTGTGCAGTTGCCGGAGTGGTTGTGACATGCACCATGAAGCTCGAGAGGCCCCGTTTAAGACCTTTGAAGGTGCCTCTCTTGCAATAGCTCTCATAATTCTTCTTCTTCTTCTGGTGTTAAAGCTGATTGAAGTTATGAATTTACGTCGATTGATACGATCTTGATTGGAAATGAAGGGTGGATTCTTGGAAATGTGAGCTATGAAAGCAAAGTATATGGAGTTGTGTATTAAATCGTCCAAGTTATATTGCATTCATGTAAAATTTATTTTTTCAATTGGTTTTATATTGGATAAAGGTTATATTAACAAACATGATTTTTTTTAGGTTATTTCTAAGAAAAACAAAATATTTTCACTTTGTCTTAAATTATTATAATTATTTTTATAATCTAAACTTATTCATTTATGATTATGGAAATCAACCATACACTGGTGAAAAATATCATTATTCATTTTATGGTGAAAAATATCATTATTCATTTTATGGTGAAAAATATCATTATTCATTTTATGATTACAGAATAATAATAAAGTGGAAAATATAGTTTTTCATTTATCATTACAATATAATATCATTATTCATTTTATGATTATAGAATAATAATAAAGTAGAAAAATATCATTATTCATTTTATGATTCATTTATAAATAAATCAAGAAAATATTCATTTTTTCGACAATTTTAGTGAATATCAACAAAATCATCATAAAAATGAATTATCAAATTGTTTTTTCGAGAATTTTTTTTGTGAATCATGTTATATTTTATTCATCTATTGATTCATTTGTTTTGTTCGCCAAAAAATTATGCCGAAAAAAACTTCTTACCTTTCTACCAAAAATATTTTTCTTACCGAATATATATATATATATATATATATATATATATATATATATATATATATATATATATATATATATATAGGGCTTGGTTAAAATACGAACGACATCTATTTTGCGGATATGTTTGGATAATGTTATTCAATGAGAATGACTAAGAGAATAGGTTGTTTGGTAAGGTGAATACGTTCAACGTCACATAAATATCATCATTATCATGCATTGTTACTAATATTATGTGAGGTTAAACGTATTCACGTTACCAAGCAACAAATTCTCTTAGACATTCTCATAGTATAGCACTATCCACACGCCATCATAATATATATCTATCCACATGTGAAACTAACTCTTTCTTTCTCTCTCTCTCTCTCTCTATCTCTTTCTCTCTCTCATTATATATATATATATATATATATATATATATATATATATATATTATATATATATATATATATATATATATATATATATTAACACACACAAGTTGTTTACCCGCGTAACAACTAGGTTAATTAAGCCTATATTTTAGTAAAATTTCATTCCCTATTCACGAAACCTAACTCATTTGAATTAGGAAATTAAAAGAGTTTAGCATGTATTTTTTTGGTTTTGAAAACTTCCAAGCTTTAGCTTGAGTGTAGACATGCACTGCTGCACATTCGAATCCTTCAAACCATGGTCTAATACCAACTTGTAAAATGTTGTTGTTTTAAATATAGTACTCATATGATTAATAAATGAGTGATCAAAATTTTCTCAAAAAGAGGTAGTATACTTTTGCAAAATATGATACTTTTAGGTTTATTATAACAAGATTGAAAACACAAGGGTTTATTTGTAAAATATCTAAAGCGAAAGACTTAATTTAACAAAATCGATAACGTCTCATACTAAATACTACACTCCACTCTCTTCTATTACAATACGTTGCTTATACCTAGTGCACTTCCGATACATCTCCTAAATAAATTTCTAACTACTATTTCAACAATTTCTGACACACAGAACGATCACATTCCAAGATGCTATTTTTTCCTCATTAGTCGCTTAGCGTGCCTAAACATATCTCTCATAATAATCAAGTACGTTGTAGTCCTTTTCCAAAGAAGGTGAAACCTGTTACGATCTTGAGGCTCTGCGAAGTAGGTCTCGCAATTGTAATGAAGCAAATCATCCATAAAATTGGTTGTGACATCTTACAATCCTTAATGGTAATGTTCCAAAACATGACATAAATAGAGTTCAAATTAATATCAGAACTCTTGTTAATGCAATCCCATTATCACCAGATATATTCACATTTTCAGGATCTAGAGGTATCCCTTCAACATGCCAAAAAAATCATTTTAATCAGCAGATAAATGACCACAAAGTCACCACTCATTTTGTCATAAATAAGGACATACGAGATATAATTAGATTCCTTGTTTGCTTAATCCGTAAGATCAAAATAATACTTTCACTAAGAAATATCAATATCAAGTTTAGATTTGGCGATCATTTGTCATTTCACAACACCAATATCCTAAAAAACAACATCTAACACATCTAAATCCATAATATGGGCATGATCAAATCCAAGGTGCATCGACTTTTTGTCCTCTTCCCAATTTGAACCTTGGGATCATCAGGCATGTCAAGGATTTATACCTTAACAACGAGAAAATAAACAAACATTAGATAATGGTATGAAAGAATTACATGCGTCACAACAACATACTCGAATTAAGAATCCATGTAATTGCTATAAGGGCCTTGATAAATATACAAAGTATTGTCATAATTAAACCATTCAATATCATATCACCCAAGAACTGACATCATCATTAGCATTACTACCTTAAGAGTCACCCTAATTACTATCCTCTCTACAGACTCGGTGCTAGAATGTGGTCGAAGTCACATGAGTGAAGTAAAAAGGTATATGTTTTGGTCATTGAAAGGGAACCGATCATGATCAAGAGTATACTTCTTTGAATACTTCTTCTTAACAACTTAGACGTGTCTAAAAGTAATCCTCCCATTCTTGAAATATTAACACTCACACATGTACTTTTAAAACAAAAAATCATGCAAACACTAATTTTTTTTTTACATCTATACATTAAGGGTAAGCGCAGATAAATAATTAAAACATACCTAAGTGTACATGCACCCTAGGATATAGGTTTTAACAATTTATAGAAACCTACTTTAAAAACGAACTAAATAAGGATAAAACACTAACCGCTTGTTGCTTTGATTGAGATCTTATAACTGCCAGCTCTTGCAACGGATGAAGAACCCAATGGAGAATCCCTTTAATGTACTCAGACCCAAAACTCCAAAAGGAAAATAAGGAAGAAACCTTTTGAGAGGTTATGATTTTCGAACTCTAGGGTAGAGAGAGAAAGATATATATATATATATATATATATATATATATATATATATATATATATATATATATAGAGAGAGAGAGAGAGAGAGAGTGTGAGAGAGAGAGAGGGGAGTGAACGGATTTTAAGAGGGAATCATCAACTAGGGTTTGATCCCTAAGAGTCTATTTATAGGCAATAGATAAATCCTTAAACATTTCAAATTCTCCAAGATAATCCTTACCTTATTCAAAACCTTCTTTATCCCTATCCAAGGGACATCAAAACTGCCCCTTACCCTCTTCCAGGAGCTTATGGAATATTGAGATTAATCTCTAGGATTTAATTAATATTCAAACACTTTTAATTAATTAAAACAATTTAATTAATTCTAAAAAATTTATAGTTAATCTATTAATCACTTAATAAATTAATACCTTATTTTTCTCCATTTCCTTATTTTTAATTGTGTTATGACGTCAACATAAAAGGAACCTATTATTATTAGAAATATTACCAAACAACTAATAACCTTGGACACTATTTTCAACAGTCTTCAATTTGGGCAAACCATTAACTTTTAAGGTCTAATACTTTCGTAACAATCAACAGATAGTAGTCATCCAATGCAACTGCTAAACTCTGATCAGAATCAAAATTTACTCCTTAGATAAGTAATCGATTATTCATTTTTTTTTTCTAGATAATTGTATGAACATGAGACATGTATAAGGGTAAATCTCAATGTTCAAAAATTTATTTCCCGATTGAAGATTTATGACGATCACATCTAACTTCTAAATCGAACACATCAATTTAGTCAGGTGTCGACCAAACACTTCATATGTTAGCATAAAATCATCGAGGGGCCCATAGATATCACCTCCTAGTTACAAGAATGAATGAATAAACTTTGAATGCATAGTTTTTGTGTACTCGTCTTACCATACATGGACACGCCCTTTTATGACTACCAGTGATGCATAACATTGGAGCACACCAATGCATGACATATTTTTCAAACAGAATTCCATATATATATATATATATATATATATATATATATATATATATTTGAAGAACAAATATATTCTCATCATCATAGAATTCTTGTGACTTGATCCATGTGTTGGAAATGGGTGCCCAATATCATAAATAAATTGGTATAACTTTGAGAATAATAACAAAGTCCTTTTTGGGTTGCGCTCAAGAGCTAAAATAACTAGAATGGATTTGGGAGATTGAGATAATTAGTAAATTGATTTATTACATGTCAATAAATCAATTAGAATTAGTTTGGAATTAATTGGAATTAATTAGAATTAATCAGGAATTGACTAAAGGTGCAGGGACTAAATGTTAATTGTTCAATAGTTAAACAAGAGGAGAATTCTAGAAACCCTAAAAAGGGTGGACAGTTTTGGGGCTTATAGGAGGCTTTCATAATCTATCCTTTTAACAGATAAGGAAATGATTTGAATTTGGATTAAATTTGATTTTTTAGTTGATTCAAATATGTTTGCCTACAAGATGCCTCAGCTATATAAGGAACCCTCTGTCCTTTAAAATTTTTGATTAAACCTTCCCCAAGGTTGAGATTATCATATTTCTCTAGTCTCTTTCCTTTCTCCTAAATATTTTAGGATTTTAGTCTTTTGAGTGTGAGCCATTAGAGGCATTCTACTTTTAGTGCTAGTCATTCTAAGTGATTGCAAGGAGTTCAAGATCTTCAAGTGGAACACAAGCATATATACGATTATACTTGAGAGGTTAGTAATCATATCCCTTTCGATAGATTAAATTTGTAGTTTTAAGAGTACGTTGCTATAATAGTAAAACATAGATCCTAGGGTGGATGCATACTTAGGATTCTTTTGAATAATTCCGTTGCCTTAATCTAGTGTTTAGTTTCATACAAAACTCATCAGTTGTATTAGAGACTTAAGTTTTTGTTATATGTGCAAGATTTAAAACTGACAAAAAATCAAAAATCAAAGAAACTTGAATCACAGGACGTTGCATGCCCTAGCCTGGCGTGGCATCCCCTGCTGAGTTTTTGGTGGTTTCGGATTTTTGAAATAATTTTCAAATTTAAGGTTTATCTTTA